GATACACTTTCCGTTTAAAAACTGTGTAATCCCTTATTTCACGCCATAAATACAGTCGAATACAATAATATGTCCAGCTGTAATCCCATGTTTCACGCCATGAATACAGTCAAATACAACAACTGATTAGTTGGATTTCCCCGATTCACGCCTATTTTTGCTATTGTATTCATGAATACAGTAACTTAAATACATCTTATAACAACAGAAAACGTATCTACAATCCGTAATATAGCAAATGATATCTATAGATAGCTAATTAACACTAAAAGATAGTACTTTATGAAAATTTATCTTAAGGTATCATATAAGAGAAATTTTCATAAATAGATATCTTTTAGTGGTAATTAGCTCTCTATAGATACCATTTGCTATATTACAGCATGTAGATACGTTTTTAGATGTTTTAAGATGTATTTGATGTATTTAGGTTACTGTATTCTTGAATACATTAGAAATAAGTGGCGTGAATCATGGAAAACCTGTTAATAAGATGTTGTATTCAACTGTATTCAAGAGTTGAATCATTAAATACAATAACGTATATTCCTTAAAAAAAAGGGACCTTTCAACTGATTAAAAATGGAAAGAAAATCAATCTAGCAAATAGTCTCCTAATATAACTCAACTAACACAATTATAGCACCCATAATCTGTATTTCCCCCTCCATCAACGATTTTCCATCCGAAAGTATCCAAAAACAGAGGATTCTGTCGATTTTCAAATCTCCATTCTTTCTTTTCATGTTATTTTGTTATAGTTGGTAGAAATCAGTTTCCAGCCAAGAAAATTTGAGATTGATACAATTGTATACAAAAATACGTTCAAATTCGATTTTGCATATGGCATGCGTTCAAGAAGCTCTTCAGACATACACAACGCTTGGGAAAAAATACCAGGAGATGCTTACCTTGAATGAGGCAATGTCTACACGAATGATACAAGGTATTCTGTCCTATGCTATGTATTCTGTTTCTTTTTCCAAACTCCCAGAAATCTATCCATTTATGTCCGTGTGTGCTTGTTAGGTTGTACCCACCGAGGCTTTACATATGGTTATTTTGCGACATCAATCATTAGTTCCTCGCCCACGTCTATATAGCCAATTGGAGGTACTTTCGGAACAACATTCCATAGATTATGGATTCTCAAAGTACGGAGACTTTCAAGTTTGTCAAATGCTGCCTTAAAATTGAGATCTCCAACTTTAGGACTTGCGAATGCAAAAGTTGTCACTGGAAATTCCTTGCCTTCGCTTGTTTTGTTGATTCCATTGAAAGCTATGTCAACTGCAATTTGGGGTTGCAAGTGATGCACCTAGGCTATGGCCAGTTACAGTAATACTAACCTCTTGATTCTTATATTCCTCAACCAATCTTTTCACTTCTTCAATTATCTAAAAGTAAGAAAACAATGATGAGCTGTTAGACTTTTTAGCTTCATCAAGGCAAGTATAATACTTTTTTCTTTTTGTTTTCAAAGTTGATCCTTTTGATAAAAATTAAAGATCTGTGTGTGTATATGATTTTTTGGTCTTCTTCTATGTTTTTTACTGAAGTGGGGGAATTCAAAAATATATAGATTTGTGTGTTGTATAATTGATGTCGGAACAGTGGAGTAATTACATCAAATACAGAAAAGGGTTGCTGGAGTAATTACATCAGATACATGAGTAATTTTTGCAAAAAGCATGACCACTACTCATTGTCAGGTATTTTTGAAAGGAATTTTTAGGGTAAATTGGGGCTGACAATGGAGGTTCGAAATCTGATATCGATGAGATGACATTAGGGTTATTCTTTAACAAAGACGACGGAGTTTGGGGCCGAGCAACTTGAAGAGTCTGTTACCTTTTTTTATTGTATTTCAATGTATCTCGTTGTATTCTATGTATTTCATTGTATTCATTGTCTTTTTTTCATTGTATTTCAATATATCTCACCTGTATTTTATTATATTCACTGTCTCGCTATATTCCATGAATGTCTTCATTTTTTTTAATTAATATAATTTATGTATTCGGATTTATAATTGAGTTTGTTGAGTTATATTAGGAGTCTATTATGTTAATTGATTCATTTCCGTTTTAAAAATAGTGCAATCCCCTATTTCACGCCGTGAATACAGTCGAATACAATAATCTGTCCAACTGTAATCCCACGTTACACTCCATAAATACAGTTGAATACACTCGAATACAACAACTGATCAGCTGGACTTCCCTGGTTCACGCCTATTTTTGCTACTGTATTCATGAATACAATATCCATGGTACAAGGTATTTAACTATATATATATTTTAAGGTAGCAATGGAAGTTGTATCCTATATTCAGTCAAGACTACTCTAATATTCTGTCAGCATTCACATAGTATGTATTCTAATATATTCAATGTATTTACATGTATATACATGTATGTCTTTGAATTCTGTATATACAAATATAGTTGTATTTTAATACAAAATATATTATGATTCTTAAAACTAAATAAAATTGTAATACTATATATGAAAATCATATTTAATACGTCTATTCTTATATATATGTATGATTTATTTTTAAATGTATGTGGTGCCATCGACTGAATATTTGCATATGGTGAACGATGAAGGAAGGCATTACACAGTATGCCTTTTAGAGAAAAAATGCAGTTGTGGGCGTTTCCAAATCGACGAATTACCGTGCCCACACGCTTGGGATGTCCTGAAGAGCAAGTTTCTAATGCCAGAAGATTATTGCTCTAATTATTACAAACCAAAGTCTATTGTAATGACATATGAGGTGCTCGTGTATCCTTTGCCGGACCGGAAAGAATGGAATATACCAGCACATGTAGCAGATAAAGTTGTATTACCACCCAAATGGAAGACCAAAGAAGAAGCGTGATAAGCCCTTCATTGAATTGCTGCAGAAGAAAAATCAGCATTCGTGCAGCATATGTGGACAAGAATGACATAATAAGCGTACTTGTAGAAATGCTCCACGTTGAAATTAGTTCACAATCTGACTTGTATTAATGAAAAACAATTTATTATAGATTCCGGTGTCATTTCGAATATATTTTGGATATACTTAGTTGGTGTATTAAATCTGAATACGTAACTAATACGACCATTGTATCTTCATTATATATGAATATAGATGAATACAATCATTGAATACATTGAACTGATGATTCTTTCTGGAATACATATAGTACACCAGAGAGTTAATATGATTTATGAATGTTAAATACATGTATTAAAATACACTTGAATACAAATTATGACAATCTGTTATTACAATCAGTTATATACAAAAGTCATATTCAAAATACAGCTGAATACATATCAATACAACATATCATATAAATATGAAGGTCTAAAAACACCTGCTGAAAATATGTGAACATAACTTGGTGAATAAATATAAATACAACTTAATGAATATAGATAAATATATCATGCTGAATACTGACTGATACAATAAGTTGAATTCATATCAATACAACATGTTGCATATATACTAATCGGTGATGTGCCTAAGAATCTTTGAAGGTGCTTCGCTCTTGCTTACGACATCGACATCTATCTTCCGCATAGCATAGTCCCAAAGGAGTGCACTATATCTTTGGCGGAGTAAATTGGCATCAAATTTTACTTGTGGAACCAGCCCAACTGTGCTAAGAAACTCTACGTATGCCGCGACATACACCCCACAATCCCTGAAAGTAGAACTTAATAGTTTATACTGCTCTGGAGTAAGCTTTTATTTGAGATCGGATACTATGTTTGTGTTTGTATATGAACAAATATGCGGTGATAATCTTGGCGGGTGTTTCACAAACAGTTTAATTTCCTGCATACAAACAAGAATTGTAAAAAGGTTTCATATTCATCATCAATATATAAACTCATTAAGTGTATGAATACATATAAATACAATAAGATACAGTTAAATATTGAAATACATATTAATACCATTTAGTACAAAACAATGAATATATACATATAACAAGCAAGGAAAACTGTAATAAGTACGGAAATACAATGAATGTAAATTAGAATACATTTAAATACATTTAAATACAACATATAATATTCAAGTAAGCACAACTCAGTTAATGACATTGTAAAAATGCAAATGAGTTCTGGATTGTTTTAATGCTTATGAATACAACTTAATACATACGAATACATCATCATAATTATAAAATCACATGAATAATCCAGAACTCCAGCAACCCTTTTCTATATATTTCTGAATTCCCCCACTTCAGTAAAAAACATAGAAGAAGACCAAATAATCATATACACAAACAGATCTGTAGCTGATGACCCCAAAAATTCTCTCACCTGCAACGATAAAGAGGGCCCATCAAAATTGAGAATTTTGGTGGGTATACCTCTTGTTACCATCTTGTGTGACATTGAATCCGACATTGGAGAGAAAATCGAAAGCTTTCTGATGAGTAAACAATAACAATGGTTATTGTTTAAGAACAAAGAAAAATCTGTATCAAAATCGAAGAAACTAAATAATTGTATCAAAATCTAAGAAGCTTAATACTTACCCCAAGAACTTGTATCAGGAATAAAACCGTAATTTTAGAGAGAAAATAACTGGGGAGTGATAATGGGGGAAATCTAGGGAATTTGGGTGAGAGAAGAAGTCTGAATCGTGGGTTTGTGGGAGAAGAGAGTAAAGTGTATGCAAAAGAGAGAGAACGTGGTTCGATTTTGATACAGATTTTACGGTGATTAAGTGAGAGAAAATTCAGAAAAGGAGAGAGAAAAATATTATTTAGCATATATGGTGCCTTAAATGTAGGATGTAACTATAATTAGATATTTTGCTATAAAGTATATAAGGTATCTATAAGATGTGATATTTTAAAATGGTATTTATTTAAAATAAATAGGGTACTAAGCTTTTCTATAGGGTGTAAAATTTCCAATCATATAACCCACATAATTTTGAACCAAACGGCCCTCAAGTCTTTCATTCTGCAAAGCCCAACCCACAAACTAAAACCCTTGCAAAACCCCAACTCACAGACCATAGCGAAGCTGAATCTCAGAGTAAAACAGCAATGGCAGCTAAACCCCAAAAAAGAGACGACTCCAAAAAGCGAAAGCATGCTCCGGCAGCCGCCGGAGGGAAATCAACTCCCAAGAAACTGAAATCATCAACTGGTGTTCCCGCTAAGGTTCTGAAGAAACCCCATAATAAATTTTCAAAGCCGGGAGATAAAAAGCAACAACCTAAGCCTCATGTTGGGAACGACCCAGTTGATACCAAGCGACAGCGTCGTATACAGGCAAAAGTACGCTGCTTTTGCTGTGAAACTTTTATATTTATGAGTCCCAGATTCGCCTTTTTTCGTAGTTTCGTTAAAGTTTTGGCAATGGGGGCCGGGGGGAAATGCAAATGGAGAAAAGATTGAAATTTCAGTCCCAAGATCGTTTTATTTGATTAATCTTTGCTCTAATTTGAAAAGTAAATAATTTTGAGCTGCAAAAAGTCCTTTTGATTAGTGTTTGGTTAATAATGGGGTTTTGTTGCAGGAGCTAGCTGAAGCAAGGAAGAAAAAGAGGAAGAAACATTACACATTGGAGCAAGTACTACATTCTTTTAAGCTTTAAGTTACTTTTAATACCGCTGACTATTTTTTATTTTTTTGAAATTTACCAAGGCTATTTTATCTTTCTGATGGCTATGGTGAAAGAAAGATGAATCAATCTGTATTTCGGTTTCGTTTACAGATGTTAAAACATTGCATTTTTATTTTGTCATAGATAAAGATGCCATTTCTCTACATCTTTAAACAAAGCCAAGATGAAATGATATCTGTAAACGGCCTTTTTGTTTATCAAGTATGATAATGATAATAGTAATTATTGGCACCTTTATTTTAAATTTAAACTTTAACAAACTCTTCATCTTTGTATTGTCATCACTTTGTGCTTTACTGCTGCTATTACACTTCTTTTCATCTTAATATGTTTTTCTTAAAAAATTTCTATTCAATCTTATTATCCTAGTGGAATCTGTACATAAATGTATTTATAGGAAATGTAAGGATTGCTTGAATTTACAAATAAACCAAGGGGGTTGGTGCTGAAACTGGATGTGATCTGATGGCCTCGGGGGTGTACAATTTGTATCTAAAATTTTAATTGAAATATTTTTTATCACAATGGTGCTTCAACCTTAACATGGCTTTATGAAGACTCCAATAGTTGATTGTTTGTTTTGGCTAAACTGTTTGTGTTATCATATTTAGAGCCCGTTTGGATTGGCTTAAAAAAATGGCTTTTAAGCACATGTGCTTAAAATCACTTTTAAATGCTGGAGCTTGTTTTATAAATAAGCAGTTACATGTTTGGATAAAAGTGCTGAAACTTAAAACAAGTTGTGAAAGTATTTGGTAAACAAATGCTGTTAAGCACATTTTCTTTTAAAATGACTGAAATGTCCTTAAAGTTGATAACACTAAAAATAAGCTTATTATTACAAGTTTTTAATGCTAAATTGATTCCTATACAAATTAATTTATGTCTAGCTCTTGTTAAGTTCTCAATGATTTGATAAAATTATTTTTAATATATATAAATTATTTATTTAAATAACATATAATAATAATTTGACTAAAATAACCACTTGGTCAATGGCATATAATAATAATTTAACTAGTTTACCACTATGGCCAATGAACATATAAATGAAATATATTTAGATGTTTCTAACTTTCAAATCTTTTTCTTGAGTCAATTGCCTCTGAAATTTGACTCGTGATGTTTTATTAAAAAGATTGTGATGGGGAGGGAGCACCACTGGAAAAGAAAGAAAGGCAAGGAAAAAGAGGGGAAAATAATAATGAAACGGTAAAGAAAGGAATAAAAGGAAAAGAGAGGGAAGTTATGAAGAAAGGAACAAGAAAGCAAAGCTGCTGCAACAGAACGGAGAAAAGAAAAAAAAGCATATTTTAGGTTTTCTATTGAGGGGTAATTTCAGAATTAAGAAAAATTATAAGGGATAAGAATGTAATATACTTGGTCAAAGCAATATGGCTTTTAAGGCAATTTAGAAAAAGTTGGGTAAATTGGTTTTAACTTTTTTTTAAGCTGATTTTAACTTTTTTTAAGTTCTTTTTTTGGTTGTCAAACACCTCCACAAGTTAAAAATAGCTTAAAAGCTGGTAAACAGGCTCTTAATTGCTTAGTCCTTCAACCACTGGTCTTTTGATAGGAGCTCGCATCACTATGGGAGAAGATGAGAACTCGAAATATTGCAAAAGAAGAAAGATCAAGGTGTGTTGTCATATAACTTCAAATATTTGATTTGATCCTGAATCTTGTGGGAAGATTGTAATTTATTTGTTACTCAGTATTTATAATGTCTTTGTTTCTCAATCTTTTTTATCCATTGATGCAGATTGGTGAGTGATGCCTTAAAGAAAATGAAAGGGAAGATCCCTGAAATAGCAAGCTCCCATGTTTCCTCTCGTGTTCTTCAGGTTCATCCTCCCTTTTCTTCTTGTTGATGACAATGATTTATGATGCTCCATATGGTTTTACTAACTCTTTTTTGTTAACGTTAGACTTGTGTGAAGCATTGTACACAAGATGAAAGGAATGCTGTGTTTGTGGAGATTCGGCCTCATTTTATCACTCTTGCCAGCAATACCTATGCAGTTCATCTGGTGACAAAGATGCTTGATACCGGTAATCTTGATTGAATTAATAATTATTCTTGTGAGCAATTTATCAACTCAAAAAGAGAAAACCTCTTTTGTGTCTTTTTAACTGCTTCTTTTGTGCTTTGCAGCATCAAAGGAGCAGCTGGCGGAGTTTATTTCCTCTCTTCATGGGCATGTTGCTACTCTTCTTAGGCATATGGTTGGTTCACTTGGTAAGATAACCTGGTTCCTATTGTTGTGAACTTCGTTTTGATTAATTTTTTGCCTCTCAGCTTTTGATCTATTTTGCCTGATCCTGCATTTCTGNACACTCTTTATATATCCTAAATATGTCCTAGAGGATTTTATGTAAGTGAACTTATTTCAAATTCCTTTTGGAACCTTCCTGTTTTAGGACCGAAAGAAAATCATTAAAGGGATGAAAGACAAGGTCGGAAAGATAGCTCGTGATAAATGTGGCACCTTGGTAAGCATGATTTTCTAGCATTTGACTAATGTTTTGGTCTATTTGTGTCCATTGTGACTTCTTTCAGATACTTCCAGTCTTCATCCATGCCATCTCTCACTTGTATAGTACTTTTATAATTCTATTAGTTTCACAGCTTCCATTCTCAATTACTTTCAGGTGCTTGTCTCCATCCTTTCAATTGTTGATGACACGAAACTTTTATCAAAGGTTTGTTCCTGCTGCTTTTCCTAACTTATCTAGGCTGCAGCCAGTTAGAAAAAGTTCCACTCTTAAAGCTGGTCTCATTGAACTCTTGCAGGTCATCATTCGTGAGCTTGAAGGAATTCTTACGGAGCTTCTTTCAGATCAGGTTTGTCCTTCATCTGCTGTATAAAATCTTCTGCCCCCCGCGCCCCCCAGCAATGCATCCTGTGATTTTATTATTGTACTTGTTGGTTCTGGCCGTCACAGAATGGTAGGCGCCCATTGTTGCAATTACTGCATCCAAATAGCTCGCGCCATTTCAGTTCTGATGAGCTAGCAGCTCTTGGTTCATCTGTTCCTTCGCTTGTCACCAAGGTATCTTTTCAAGCTTTTCATGAAATTATGCCATTATCTTATCAACAACTACACCTCGATCCCAAACACCATTATCTTATATAAAAAAATATTTTCACGAAATTCTGGAAAGTGTTGTAAGCAGTGCAGCTACAGCTAAATTTAATGATCGTTTAAAAAAATTGATAGAGCCCCTCAAAAGTAAATGTTGCATTGGATGAAGAAACCGAAGCTTCAGGGCTTGGTGAAGCTGATAAAGAAGATAGCTGTGACGCAGGTGCTTCAACTGATGCCACCCAAAGTTCACATTTGAGCGAAGGAGGAAAGAAGGATCCTCTTACAAGGCGGAAAGAATTATTGGTCAATAGTGGGTTAGCTGAGGTTAATATTATCTACTTTCTCATTCATATATCTATAGAGCTGTTTTTTACTTTCAGTTATCAAGCTTGTTGCCTTGCCCATTTCATTTTCTGTGATCCTTTCCTTCTGCCACTCTTTTTAACTCTCAAGGCTCTTTGAAAGCTTTATCCTTTCGTTTAGATGAAATGTCTTCTGTGTTCTCCTGTCGTTTGTGTATTCAACTTTATCCCCTTTATCAAGTCATTCCTGATCAATATTGCAGAAACTCATCGATGCCTGTTGTGAGATGGCAGGGGAATTGCTAAAATCAAACTTTGGTAAAGAGGTCATTTATGAGGTATTGTCATGTTGATTTAATAAACTTATTGCATTATTAATGTATCATAACCTTTAAATACCACTCTGTCCTAAAATAGTTTTCCTGAATAAATGTTGGATGTCTTTCCTGAACTACCCTTCTATCTTTATTGGCTTTATAGATTTTTTTTTTTAAAAATATAGGTTGCCATGGGAGGTGCAGACAGCATCTTTCACGCAACTTTAGATGGAAAGTTGAAAACCTTACATGATGCTATAGCATCTCTGGCAGCACATCCTAAAGTGGAGGAATCAGATAAAGAACATCTCCTTGAACACTTCCATTCTAGCAGGACCATCAGAAAACTGATCTTGGACTCCCCTTCTTTTGCTTGCACTTTGTATGAGAAAGCCCTGAAAGGAAAATGTGCAATTTGGGCTCAAGGCCACAGGTTGGTTTGTTGAACTCATTTCCTCCTTTCAAGCAAATTTGCAGAGGAAAAACCTCTTTCTGACTTCTTTTACAATTTGCAGTGCGAAAGTGATTAGTGCACTGTTGGAAACTTCAAGTTCTAAGGTACACAAGCTTGTGAAGAAGGAAGTGCAGTCCTTGGTAGATGATGGTATCCTCAAATTAGCCAAATGATCTGCTGCCAAAGCAGAATGAGCCAACAATGAGGATGACAAGTCCATGATCTTGTTTAGATTGATCAAGCATTTGGACTCCAGTGTCCAAGGTTATTATAGTGATCAAGGAGCGCATAGGACGAGTTCCTGGCAAATGTCTTCACACTCAAAAGATGAAGTTTTCTATCAAGTCAATGAATAGGTGATACGATAAAAGAATGAATATTTTTTCTTTTGGTTGTACCATATATAAAGATATGGAACACTTTTGTTATGTTTTAGTCTTGCATTGTCTCCTAATATTCAGTAAAGCTCTTGTCTGTTTATCGTTAAGAAACATCTTTTGGAGGTGTTTGAAGTCGTCCTGATTTGTCTATGACAACATGGAGAAGTCTGCAGAAATTACAAAAGGAGTAAAGTATAGGGAAACTCAGGTTGAAAACTTGAATGAAGCATTCATTGTTAGCTGTAAGTTGTATATTTTCAATGTAGTATGATCCAAACACTGCACCAGGAGTAAAACACTAAATGACTCCTTAAAGGAGATGAAAAGTGCATCATGGTGTCTGCTAGTTGTAGAACTTATGCTTAGAGCCGGTTCTACTGAATCTATCTACATAAGCTTCCTTTTCTGATCTAAGCTCAAACGCTGGATAGCTACAGTCGCGACTGCTAGAAACATGTTTCTCAATGCTTCTTTCCTGAAATCTATGCAGCAACTTCCTATAATTGCTAGGATGAGGATAGCCTTGTAACTCATAATTGAATGGATTGAAGATTGGTATTTCATTCCGTCTTGTGAAAGTCTGAGGTTCTATCGAGCAAGTAGAAGGTGGAGATTTCGCCTTCAGGCATGTGTTTATAACTGCAACTTCTTCCATAAATCTGGCTTTTAGTTCTTTAACACGTGAAATGCTTGTGGTTCTGGAAACTGGCCGTGCCTCTTCATTAGTAGTAAATGTTTTGGCCACTTTTGCAACATTGCCATGTCTAGGAGGCTTTTCACTTGATTTGCTTCTGGTTCTGGAAACTGGCCGTGCCTCTTCATTAGTAGTAAATGTTTTGGCCACTTTTGCAACATTGCCATGTCTAGGAGGCTTTTCACTTGATTTTATGTGACACTTAGGGCATATGTGGCTTCTTCTGTCTGCTTCAAAAGTTTCTCTGCTTGCTTCATCTGTCAGGCAAACATATGCCTGTAACAAAACATTAGTTCTTTTGGTGTTTAGGTAATTATCTGCCTTTCTTAGCCTAATTATTCAAAAGGGAAAAATAAGGAAACAGGGACACTATTCATCAGTTTTCTTTGCAAGGAAAAGCACGTAAATTTCCAAATCATGGAGTGCGTAAATGATATCCTTCCCAAGAATATAGGGGTAAAAAAAAAAAAGTAGCTATAAAGAGAGGGAGAGTAGAGAAAAACTTTAAAACTACTCCAACTGAACATGATTCTTCTTTTTCTTTTTTAAATTCTTGCATCATCAAATTATCATAATGAGAAATTTGGATAATAATCCATTACCATTTTACAGAAAACGAGAAAAAAAAGTTCATATGCCTACCTGAGAAACCAACTTGAATGCAATCTCAGCTTTGGGATGTTTGTTCTTATCAGGATGAAGCTGCAAAGCTACAATCAAGTTTAACTATAAGTTCACAATAACCAGAATCTGAACTTTAAATCTTGCAAATTAGTTGTACCTAGTTTACGACATCGTTGCTTAATCACATCTGCTCCATCACTCTCGTCGACCTGAACTCAGAATTCAGAACCATCAAAATTCTTGATAAATATAGAACCTGGGAAACACAAGATGAGTCCCAAAGACAACCCCATGACCAAGAAGTTACAATTAAAAATACAGTGTCACAAGTTCAAATTCAATTAGACTCATGGCAATTACCATCCAATTGAACATCGCTTATTTCCTTGTTAACAATGTGGGGAAAAAAACACAAGTTAAGTCCCTAGTAGGAAAAATTAGTATTAGTGGCGAAGCCACATGGTTACAAGGGTGGTCGTCGAAAAATTACACTGTGTGTATAGATAAAATATTACGTTTTAGAGGTATGTAACACATATTAAACACCCTTTATCGGAATGTTTTGCACTTCTTTCAAATTTGAATACCTTTGAGTAAATTACTAGCTTTGCCACTGAGTGACAAAAGTCATAATTTGAATTATAGTGTCATGAGTTGGAATTTCAGTAGGACTATTGCTGCCCGTTTTATTAGCCTAATTCCACAATTTGTTGTAAACTCTATACCACAGAAAGAAGGAAACAAACACAATAGGGAACTTGCATTGCATCGCATGTCAATAAAGAGAAGAAACTAGAAAATATACGTACATCAAGAACAAGATACCAGTTGATGAATGCCGAATTTCTGGGATACAAATGGTGTTGATGGGAACAAGGAACCACCCCTTTAGAGAGTTTACAAATCTCTGAGACCAATTGCCATTTTGCATCTGCAGATTCATTTCCCATGAAGAATGCAATTCTTGAATAATCAAATGCAATGATTATTAATTACTTGAATATCTATACCAAATATCAAATGCAATGATGATTAATTATGATTATAGGTGGAATATGTATAGAGTATAGCGAGAGTTAATTAAGAGCGTTAATAGAATTTAAGAATGGGTGGAGCGGTTAAGAAAAAGAAGCGCACAGTTTGCGGGACTATAGATTTGTTTTTCAAAAGTTGTTCAGTTGTTGGGACGAAGAGGGCGAGTATGATTACTGTTAATGTTGACTCGTGGCATCATACTATTTGATCTTTGACTAATTAACATCTTGCTTAACCAAGTTCATGTTATAACGAAAGACATGTTAATTTTGAACATTTTCCTACTTTTCTTAACGTACTAGCTATAGGCTGGCGTGTACCCCATCTCGATCAATGAGTGGATATTTTTATAAATCACATAAATGTGATATTACTTTTTTAGTTGAGCTTCTGAAATTGATGAATGCTAATCTTAGTTTTATTCTAAAAACACAAACATGATCAGCTAACTTACAGAAGTTAGTCGCTTTTCTTTTTCGTGAGCAAAATACAAATTATTCCATTTCTTTAATCAATACGAATTAATATGTGAATTCTTTTCGACTTGAACGAATAAATTATTATCACAAAAGTAGAGTCCAACAACTACATTTTAAAACATGACATTATTTGTCAATCTAACTTCACTTATAACACCGGTACGTTGAAGATGCTATGCTTAAGCTATGACAGTGCAGAAGCAAATTCTTAATTTTGTTAGAGTGACTTTTTAAGTAAAAAGAGAAGGTTTTAAAATCTCTTTCTATATTGACTTTCTCTCATTTGAGTACCAAGTAAAAGTTTTTTATTTTTATAAACTTGTCTAAATTTTTCCACACATTTATAAAATTATTTTAGTCTGCATTTATGTTATATTATCCTATATTTTTTGTTTGCGGAATATTTAAAATAAAACATAGAGTCTCTCTACATTAGGCAAACAGAATAGCAAGGTCATTAAGTCAAAATATCGCTTTTTAAATGTTACAATTCTTTTATAAACCATACAAAGTATGGAATTCTAAGACAAAATCAATATCTTTCTTTTTAGTTTTGACTCTAACATCATAACATTCATAAAATTATTATTCTATATCTTTTGTTTGTGTAATATTCACTCTTTAAATTAGGCAAACTCAATAATAATGTAAGTCAAGCTCCCAACGCACTAAAATGATGATTTGTTATTAGCTCCCAAGTCCCAACGCACATTAATTAATTGGAAAATACAAATTCACACAACTTTAGATTTGATCAGGTACATAAAACTAAAAGTATGGTACGTGTATATGTAAGCAGAAGCGAAAATATTGCCTACTTTGTTACTTGGCACAAATTATTCAAAAAGGAAAAACGATTGAAATTCCTAAATATTAGGAGTGTATACATAATTCAAATAAGGAAAGGTTTGATAGTATTTTTAAAATCTTAAATATTAGAAAAATAACCAAATGACTATTTTGTCTAGTTGTGAACTTTATTTTAAAAGAACAAAAAAGGCGAACGATATTTCGCTAAGGGGCTTTGTGCTTTTGATATAGATATAGATAGATAGATGATAGCAAAATATGTCTAATACCGTTTAGTCAGTTGATTTCCAATATTTTTATACCTATCAATAGAGATTTTTGTGTCTATTACTATTGCATATAGAGATATATAATATATTTTCAAAATTGTGAGTAAGTTTTCATTTATTCTACCATGTTGCTAAACTGTTTTTTCTTAGCTAGGAAATTAATCAATATAATAATTTGTATTAAAAAATCTAAGTTATGCAAATCATTTTACGACAACTATATACCAGGTAAAACCGAAGTCTAAATATACTTGAATTCATAAAATCAAATAAATATATGCCTATTAACTTCTTAAAATGAAAGTGTTGATCCTAAATCAGTAATGAAATCATGAGTAATATATACTATAATTTAAACATTGAATCATCCAAGATGGATTCTTCATGCCAAGTTTGCTAAAATTATAATCTTACAGTATGATGCAAATATTCATTTTCAATTAGTAATGAAGCAAAATAATTTGTTCACCTCATTTACTTTCCCGTGGACTTGTTTGCTGTAACATCGACACAAGTAGAAGTTTCATGTGATTGTCAGTTTCCGTATCCTTGTTTGGTAAAGGAATAAATGAGAAAAGTTACTCACAATATATCTATCTATACTATATTAAAATCACGAAAGCCCTTAGCAAATATCGTTCAACTTTTTTACTCTTTAATAATAAATTTTATATTGTACAAAATTGTACTTTGGTTTATTTTCCTAATATCCAGGATTAATTATTTATTAGGAAAATAAGGGATTTTTTTCCAATTCTAGAATTCCTACACTTTCAACTCCATTAAGATTTAGGAGTACTAAATAGGGAAAATTTCATATTAGAACAACTGGGCTCCATATTTTTTAATTTTATAGCCCATATTTCAGTTTACAATCAACTAGCCCAAAAATAATAGGCTAAGATTCAATATCCAGCACCAATAGGTTCTCAAAATTACTATTTAATTTTTAAAAAAGATTCCTCAAACTTTTAAATTAATTTTCGAATCAGTAACTGTGACTCAAATATTAATTCAACAAATCAAATTCATTCGGGTGGTGAAAATTAGATTTTTAACAAGCTTAAATATGTGGGTTTAAATTCTAAATTTGATTTTGTGAAAAATTTGGAGTGGGTGTTATTTAGACTTGTTAGAAATAGTATAAGGAGGTTGTATATAAAATTTGAAGTCATTTAATGGAGATTTGGACTGGTTTTGAACAAGAATTGCAACTGAAAATCGTGGAAGAAGTTCGTCTACAGACGCTTGTGTAAAGATGTATAAAAGTGTATAATAGTGTCTAAGGTGTATTTCTACACTCATATACACTATTATACAAGATTATACAAAAAAACTGACTTCGTCTTCTTCCTTGCGTCTTTTCTGAAATTTAGCTCAAATCTTGCTCAAGTCTACTCCAAATCACTTCAAATTTAAATTTTGAACTCCTTCTGATATTTTCAATCAATTGGAACAACACCCAATCCATACAACTAACAAAGTGAAAAGAAACTATTTTCAAAAGCAAAGCTTTGAATGGTCTTCAATGGTGGACTTCTACTCTTCAATTTTCTTACATTGCAAGCAGGTGACACAAGAGGAGAAGCAAAAAATATACTGCCCTTTGAAGCATATGTAGAAGATGTGAGAAGAAGAGAGAGTGAAAGCAATAGTTGTGAGAACAAAGAATTAACTCCATAGCTTTTAGAAACATTAGTTGTAAGAACATAGATTTTGAATTTGCAAGTGCTTTCAAAATATATACAATATAGGTTAGGTGGAGTAAAACTTAAAAATATGAGCCATTTTTTGTTATGGTGTGAAATCATGTGTATTTTCTTGTAATTCTTTCTACTAAATGAGCTTTCAATTCACAATAGGGTAGTCTCGATTACTTTATGCTCCTTATAGGTTAGGAGGATTCTTTTTGTTTAATAAAACTTCCTCTTTTAACTCCATTTATATTTATGAGAAGTTCACGTTACCCTTCCCAACAAGTTAACATGACAAGATAAAGTTGTAATGGAGAATAAAAAATTAATTTTCGTTTAATTTGTATTTTCTTTAGTTCAAGTTTGATTCACAAGTTATTATTATTGTAGTTATTTTTAAGTGGTATATCTAAATTAAAAACAAATTATTGTAATTCAGTCAATTAAAGCAAAGCTCAACTCAAACAAGTAATTAAAATATTGTGCTTTCTTTTTCTTCTAACGTTTTTGCAGGCAGTTTGCTTTTTGTTTTATTAAGTTTTTTTTTTTTTGCTCAGAACTAAAATATTTTAAAAATATAACTTTAGGAGTACAAATTATCTCACAATTCCAAGTAATGTAAAACATGTGCCATTTTATACATGAAACAAAACAAAATAAAAAAGAAATTGAGATTCAACTGGTAGAAAATCATTAATTATATGTATTTAACGGGAGTAAAAATCAAATTCAACAACATAAGAAATCATAATAGAATAGAAGTTAACAAGCAAAGTATTCTTGTAAAATTTCTCTTAAAATGCTTTTAGGAGATATAAGCAATTAAAATGTATTTTTGAATCAAATCGGACTTAAGTTTAAAAAGTTAATGTATTTTTGAATCAAATCGGACTTAAGTTTAAAAAGTTCCTATCTAAATGAGAACCAAAACAAGAAAACCAAAACGATACATTGTATAAATTGATAAAAAGAATAGATTTTAATTTTGATCTTAACATAAATTTCATATTCAAACTCTTTTAATATAATCTATCAAGTAATCTAAATACAATCATATGCTCTTGATTTCATAGAAAAATAATTGTTTGATACATAAATATAGAATCTGGGAGGCATGATTATATATTTAGACAAAGATAGAAAGCTCACACTAAAAGAATAAAATTTGTAGATTAATCATACTTTAGTGACTTAATTATTTTACTTTTGCGATAATAATTTATCTTTTCCAATATATAGAAAATAATTCCTATATATTATTTTTTATTGATTAAAGTAATCGAATATTTTTCATTTTGCCCATGAGGAAATGAAGATTTTGCGTAAGTTAGTGTGATGACTCAAAATGTCATCACTTGTGTTGCAAGCAATTTAGTGTCCCGAGGCCTTAAAATCCTCTTTTTGTCTTTCCTTAATTTGCGTGCACAGTCCGTGCACGTTTCCGGAAAGCTTTTATATGAAAACTAAGTGAAATAAGGAAATTGGCTTTTAAAATTGAATAAAGTTAGACTTTGGTCAATATTCTTGGTAAACAGACCCAGACCCGTAATCCGACGGTCTCGTAGGGTCCGTAGTAAAATTTGGGACTTGGGCGTATGCCCGGAATTGAATTCCGAGGTCCCAAGCCCTAGAAATAATATTTTAAAGAAAATTATTTTCTGAAAAATATAAAGGTTTTTAGAAGTGAATTGATGTAATTCTTGATGTTATCGGGCACGTATCCTGGTTC